CCGAGTTGTTTTCCTGCCTTCAGTATAAATTTCAGGGTCCCTGGCGTTCCCTGTGGAGCAGCACATTCAGGTCGAGCGTCTATCTTGTCTTTGATGAAGTACCTTGTCCAGTGTCATGTATAGACAGTGAAGTGCTGGAGCTTTTACATTAGCATAATTGTAGTGAAGCTTCCTCTTTCATCAAAATATTAGTCTCCATCAGTGTTCGGCATGAACAGCAAAGTTACCGTAGATTAAGTGTCCTTTCATAAATAACCTCTCCATATACCAATCAAAATACTTATACCAGAAAATTGTCTGCTGAGCCATTAAAATGATTTAGATTCTGTTAAAGTGTCTTGAAATCACATCTGTCAATACTACAATACACACACACACACACACACACACACACAGAAAGATGGATATACAGTAAGTAGTTTGTAATATGTCTTGATGATTAACATTACTTTTTCCACAAAAACACAGAAATCAAATACAGATAAAAATCCACATGCAAAGATTAAAAAATATAAAATACATATAAAATATGATATGAGAAGCAAATATACAATATGATAAAGAAATGTAGGACACAATACAAAAATATATGATAGGATACAAAATAAAAATATAGGAAAAGATGTGATAGATGTATCACAAATTCACTCATTACAACAAGTGCTTGAAACATGTTAAGAGAAAATTAAAAAGTAACCAGGAACTAAATGATAATAACACCAGGAGCAATAAAAACACTAAGGGTCATTTTAATGATCTGATTTCTTTATAATACGAACAGCAGCCTCTCAGTGTGAACTTGCAAATATATTCAATCTATATAGGAAAGCTTCGGGACTGAAGAGTCAGTGATGCCAATGGATGACATGTGCTTGCGAGTCATCGCACATGCTTGTTAATGGGGTTTTATTGGCAACATTAACAGCTTTTATATCATGGCAGAGGCAGCAAGCCAGGTGAAACAGCTGTTGATCATATTGTCTTGGTTGTAGGGCATGGAGACGTGTTAACACCATATTGCTTGAAACACATATGGCCTGGTAGCATTGCTGAACAAGTGTATGATGAGGTCAAAAGCAAAAGAGATCCCATGAAAAGAGTTTTTCTGGCTTGGTTTTCTGCCAATGTAGATCACAAATATGACTTATTTTCTGACATAGGGTTTATAAAGTGTCTGTTAAATGTAATATTACAAAAGTGAATTTGGTACAAAGATTGACTTAGTGGTTTTTGTAGAGGCAGTTTTATTTCTTTGAAGCTAGGTAGAAAAATCCTATTCTAAACACTAAACAAGGTACCAATAGACGCTATGCCTGCTATTCAGTTGGCTCTTTGTGTTTTCGACAGAAAGATTGGACAAAGGGTCAGATGACCGCAGAGTTCACACACGTGTGCATTGACTCAAAGGCATGTACCTATTATTGATTGTAGCAGCATGCACCACACACATCTGTACACACTCATGTCCACATTTACACTCTTCAGGAGAGAGCAGAGAGTGAGAGGAAGAGAGCCTTAGAACGCAAGGCATTCAAGCTATGTGCACTCTGTGTGCAGACACAGCTTGGTACAATCGTAGCATTTAGAAAAGTTTTAATTTACTTAGGATGGGCTTGCAGCATATGGAAGCATCCACAATAGCTGACTGATGGGAGAGACAAAGAAATTCCAGTCTACTGGTGCTAAAAAACTCAATTCAGATCTGGTCATAATGGCTCAGCTGTCGTAACCAAAGCAAGAGAAGAGAATAGGGTGCCTTGTGATTTTCCCCCTTTTCACCCTCACCCTCCCTTGCTTTTCTTCTTTTTTGTGCCTAAATCTTTTATCTGTGTTATTCACTCGGGACTCTTCAAAGTAACAAGCCTCCTTCTTTTTCCCCGGTACTGGACTTGGAACCCAAATTAGAGACTGCTTGATTAGAGCAGAGAGGAGGGAGCCAAAAGAGAGGGAGATGTGGGTATTGGACAGAACAAATCGCACCCCTACAAAGTGCCTTTTATCCAAAGACCCCAAGGCTCAAATACCCCCATCCCTCCCCAAGCAACCATGGCTCTGCTTGTTTTCCTCTTATCATTTATTTAGTCACCCGTTGATGTTTTCTGCCCTACTTTGTGACGTTTAAAAGAGGGCATAAATCTCAAAAGGTGAATGCTGAATGGGCTGAAGCTGAACAACACAGCTTTAACATCTCCTCCTCCTATGTGTCAATCTAACATCTCTGAACTTAACACCAGAGCCTGAGAAAAAAAACAAGAGAAGTGCTAGAACAGCTTGACCGCTCACTCCTGGGATTCTCCTCTTGTGTCAGGCGGGTATTGTCCTACCGAGCTTCAGTCTTCTAACAGGAGGATGTCACAACATGTTAGGTCTGGGCTGACTGCTGGGGTTTATGTAGCGCCAAGGCATCTCTGGGCTGTCTGTCTGCAATCGGAAGTGCAATGTGAGGAGACATGTTAACAGGCAGACCCCAGCCCCACCGCTGTTAAAAGCCATGCAATATGCAGGAAACAGCCTCCTTTGTCAGCAGGCTGGTCGGACACAGACCACGACTCTTCTCTTCCACACCACCCAATAAAAGTTTTATCTGCATTTTAAAGCTGATCCATAATTTAAAGCAGGAAGAAAGAGATTTTTTACACTCAGCTCCCAACAAAAAAACATTTCCCCCGATTTTCTACAAAGGTTTGTGCAACATCTAAAGGGGAAAAAGTTGTGTTTAAATAGTTACAGAATTCAGCACTAATCTGAATAATCGGAGATTGGATTTAAACAGAAAAAGACAAAATATGCAAAACAAAATATTAAATATAAATAGGACTAAAAATAAAAAAAAGAAGGTTGAAATTGATTGCAGGACGCAGGGCAGTTAGGACTCCCCACAATCCAGCTCAGCATCAAAACAATGAACCCTCTGTTAGTATTCTTTTGGTGTCCGGGCAGGACTAAGTCCGCCACACTCAAACTAGTCCATCAGATTATTCTGTGGATCTTAAAGGCAGCAGATCCCACTGCAAAATCAAGCACACACACAAAAAAGTGTTTTACTGTACATTCCTGCTATTGTTATTTTGTATTTTTACAGGGTAAACGCACTTAACCTACTGAGTAATCAACAGAAATGTGTAATTAGACAGGCTGAGAGTCCAGATGTTTCGTTTCCAACTCAAGGTTATTTCCTTCAGCCTTGATGCCTCATGTCCGTCATCTTATTTTATTTCCTTTATTTCTTTCTTTCTTTCTCTCATTGTTTATTACCTTCCTTTATTCCTCCCTCCTTACACAGTATCGATAGCAGTGATTTATTGTGACAACTACTGATGAATCTGGCTAGTGACCTGTAAAAGGCAGGCCCTTCATGGACACAGCCAAAGGTTAATAAAATTGGTGCAGATTATATCAATTTTACACATAAGCCATTCACAACAAGTGTAGTGGGTTGAATAAGAAGTCAATTCAGGCCTTGGAAACTGCACGCAGGCCCAATGAATGGCTGCTTTTAGGTGCTTTTTTTTTAGTTAGGAGGATAAATGGAGAATTGCAGCTCTCTTCCATTGAAGCAGGCAGCGGAGGCAGAGCGAGGCAAGCCGAGGTTCAGACAAGCCTGCCAGTAAATTGCCCTGAATGGGTTCTGGAGGTTGACAAGCCCTATTAAGACAAACGGCTTTCCTCATCGGAGAGATAAAATAAATCAGGTGTTTAGTCAAATTAAAATAGTTTGAGTGAAGAGGGCCCCTGGGAGCTCTCGGAGAAACTCAAGACAGATGTGGCCAGAGACGAGGGGAAGACACCCAGGAAAGAATTCAGCTCCTGCTGGCCTCTGGCCAGACTTCACTGTACTGTTATCGGGATCTTTAGGCTTTTATCCTTCTCTCTCCCGTTCTCTCTGTCTCTTCTGTCGGTTTTTCCATCTCTTTTTCTTTCATGTTCTCTGGGATCAGCTTGTCACACAGGAGTGCTGTGGGAGGAGAGTGAGTTACTGTCTAGCCTCTCACTGGCAATTATGTTGGCGGTGTAAGTCAATGGTAGGATCACTTAGCATTGATTAGGCGGAAAGAGAGAGCAGTGCAGCCGAGCCGCTCTCTCTATCACACAGAGCACACAAAGGACGCCCATTGGTTCGTTACTGCTTTTTTTTCTTTGAGCTTTGCATAAAGTAACTAATAATAATAATGCTAATACATTTAATTTGTAATGCACTTTGCATTTGTAACAAATCTGAATGAGCTACAGAATTAAAAACCATGATCAAAAAAATAAAGTGAGAGCAAAGAGCCAATAAGAAACAGGAGTATTAAAAACGACATCTCTTAAGATTATAAAAATTAACTGAACATGCAGAAGTGAGTCAGAGCATATTTTTGGTGCCTTTTCTTTTCAGAAGTTCGTGAGATGTTTCCTCATTTCCTGTGTTACTCTAACAGCCATATGATGACAAACTCGTGTCCCGTTCAAACACTGACTCTCAACACTTCCTTTATATCCCCGCTCAGTAGCCTGACATAAGCTGCCATCTCAGTTTGACAGCTCCCCGCAGCTCTTTGTCTGAGCGCCGGGAACAATTCCTTCCCTTTCCTCCTGTGAGAGCTGTGAACAGCAGCTTCAGTAAGACAGGCAACTCCAGGCACTCCAGGCTGTGTGTGACCTTAACACTTTCTTGTGAAATCACTGCAGTGGGTTAAAGCCTGTGTGGTTTTCTTTGTGGAATGTATTGTGTACAGTTCTATAGCACAAAATGAAGATCAGTGTGTGCATCATGGTCACTTTGCTATATTTAGCTGTATACAATAATCAAGGCCTTCTGCAGGCTTTCTTGGAAAAACTTAGATCCTGGTTATGTTGTTAAAGCCACAATGAAACCTTTCATGTACTTCTTTCTTCTTTTTATCCTTACAGGCGTACTTTACTCGTACCTGTATCTACCTCTCTCCGCCTTATGTTCATCCTTTACACTCCTGACATTGCTCCCTTTCTTGCTCTCTCTCTCTCTCTCCTTTCAACAGGTACTCCAGAGAGCCTGGCAGAAAAGGAGCACCAGCTCTCCACAATGATCAGCCAGCTGATCAGCCTGCGTGAACAGCTCCTGGCTGCCCACGATGAACAGAAGAAGCTTGCTGCCTCACAGATGGAGAAACAGAGACAGCAAATGGAGTTAGCTCGTCAGCAGCAGGAGCAGGTATCTGCTAAATCTTTTCTTTACTCCAAAGTTGACCTCTTTGTCTACTGCAGGTATAAGCCTATAATTAATCCTGTTGACTTTGGTTACACTTAAGTCTTCAAAATCTACCCAAATTAATACATTTGCAAGAGAATTTCACTTGACTATATTTCCTATAAATTGTCATGCCTGAAATATGCCAGTAAATTCTTAGTCCTCGGCACAAAGTTGGAACAATATTGGATTTATGCAATTTATATTCTATATTGCATCAAATGTTTCTGTCATGCTCTCTCGCCCACATTTGTGCTGTGTGGCAGAAAAATGTTATTATGACTTGTACTAACAAATGCCCGGGAATGTGTGAATTAAACGTTATATTAAACATGGAAGTCTTCTATATCTTATAAATCGACTCCTATTAGAACAAGACTGGCATTAGATTTGCAGCACAAATCAGGCCAATGAGCCATATTGTACAAATCAGCAAATTAGCAGGGGCCATGAAGTGTGTTAATGTCTGGGAAGAAATAAGGACACAAACTATCCACATGGGCGACACTTTTATTATCAGCAGCCCGCCTAATGGCTATGAGTCAATTATCAGCGAGGAGTTCACTCAGAGTTTTCTCAGCACACTCTCAGACCTTCACGTACTAAATGAACAGATAGACCGTATACCTTGGAGTGATGCATTTGGTCATAGTACACTAATAATACATTAACAGTATTGATTTCTTTTTCAATCAATGATGTTCATTTGCAAACTACACTCAACTCTGTAGGCTTTGTAGACATCGATGCATAAATGACCAGTGATGTAAGCTATTTTATTATTTGATCTTGTTTTAAAATGGAACAATATTAATAAAAGGGAAAAGAGAGAGAGAGAGGGAGAGGGGGAGAGAAGGAGCCCGCTGAGAGCTAGAATGTCATCGAGCCATCAAGATACAACACAGTAATTAACTGTTGACACTCGTGAGGAAGCCAGCACAAATTAATCTTGACACATTTGCAGACGACCGATATCTTACAGTGAACACTTTGTAATTATATTTAAAAATGAAAATTAAATGACACTTAAAACTAGGTTGTCATGCTCAATGAAGTGGGCATGTTCGGAAGGGGACTGCTGCAATGAGAAGGATTGTGGTGGGCCTCGCTTGTCACTCAAGGGCGGCAGGGACCTCTGCCACCCGCACGCTGCCTCCACCAGTTATCTCCATCTTAACCACGGTCGTCTGTCCTGTAAATTATTCATTCGTTTTTACCACCGTTTTTAACAGTGCTCTTCAGAATATTTTAAAATTTACACTTAGCTGAATTTATTTTATTTGTCATATTTTACAGCAATGTGGCTGTGACCATATTTTGTAAAAAGGAAGGAAAAGTTATAAAACACTTTTTTTTATAAATATACTTCTACCACTTCATCTGTCCCAAAATTAATCTCTTTGAAACAGCCATCGTTGAACACATTCTCACAAACTGTAACTGGCCAGGTAAACTTTGAGGAGGATTTTCTCAGGTTGCAGCACGCGTCCTTTATGATGTTAATTAACCAGGATTGATTTATTTTCCTGTCTTTGTTTCTGTTCCTGACCAGATTGCAAGACAACAGCAGCAACTTCTGCAGCAGCAGCACAAAATCAACCTCCTCCAGCAGCAGATCCAGGTCAGTGAAAGTGTTTCTGTTGACCCCCTTGACACTCAGCAGTTTACACCTCTCACTTCTTCCATACAGATCATTACAACATTTCTGCCTCTAAAGTGTAATCTTTGGACAATTGGTGTCGCCACGAGCCAAATTTCTCGATTTATTGACAAAGACCAATAAATTAGCCATTAAAGTAAATAATATTGGTAACTTCTGTTAGCCTTTCCTTTTTATTTTTATTTCTTCTTTTTATCTTTAATTTTTGTGTCACACTAACATGCATCACTCTCATCAAATGTTAATTGCCTGTTGGTAATTGGGAGGGCTTTAAAATATGGAGGAGAATAATTAGCACATCTTAATGAACAAAAAAAGAGACGGGTGGGTGGGGGAGGGGGGGTGTAACAACAGCTAATGAGTCCTGTTGATGGAGAAGAGCCTGGAGGTGGGGGACATGAAAGAGGCTGGTAAATGCCTCTGAAACGAGATGGTCCCTGGACGGGCAACGTGGCATGCTTTCACAACTCCTAAAACTCATATTGTCTATAATGCTAGAGCTGTTGTTGTGTATGTTTTTCTTATCGCTCTTTTTTTTTTTCTTTTGATATACATTTATGTGCTGCTCTAGTTTTATACCAACGAAACACCCATTATCACTCTCATAAGGAAGTGTGTGTTTTGTGCCTGCCTTATTTGATACACTTCATAGCAGTGCACTGAGAGACCACCCAGACTGCATTTAGCCAGACACGGTCAGACAGTTCAGGGTAATCCAGGGTTTGTTACTTGCAGTGGTCAAGGTTGTGAGCCTGGCTGCCTGTGTGAAGCTTACATTACCCTGCTGGGTGTGCTCAGTGTCAGGCACATACTTCTCCACTCACCTCCTCCACTTGTTCTTCTTACTGACAACTCCCTATCATCTCCTTTGCTTTTTACTTCCCCCCCCAAACATTTACTTACAACAAATGGTTCTTCCAGATCCCCTAGGCACTCCTCTGAGACACTTTTTCTTCTACAGACATTTTACTATGGGCATTATACAGGGCACAATACCCCTCCCCACATATCAGTGTGTTCCTTAATGAATATGTAAAACTTCTACTCTCTCACAGCTATAAATAAAAGACCCAGATTCAATGTTTATATGAATAGCTTGTTTTAAGAAAAGCAATGTACTGTCATGTTCTTAAAAAGCCACTATCTTGGACCTTTCACTTCAGCAGGGGACTCAATATTTAAAAAATACTTCACTCCACTACAGAAAGGCACAGAGAATGACATCCTGTCTAGAAAACACTCTAAAATGAAGAACCTTATACACCAACGAGGGGCTAGTTATACTCATATCATTGAGGGCCCTTTACTGATGCTCATTGAGCATAAGGGCAAAGCCCTAATGCATCTCATTTTTCGAGACTCTTGCTTTCATCACAACATTAAAAGGCAAATGATACCTGAAAATTCTTCTTGATGCATAGTTTGGAGAGAGGGTGGGGGGTCAAGTGTGCATGGGATCGTACTTCTATCCATTTCAAACACTTGAACAGAGATACAAGTAAAGTCGTCTCTTGCAGAGCCCAGTTAGCCTGCTTCTCCCTTGACCAAATGCACCAGATCTTCCATGAAAAAAAACCAAGCCGCATCCACAATTAAACAAAATTGTCTCATGCTCAGACCATCTGTTCCAGTGCCCATCTAGAGCATCATCAAATAATTAACAAAGTTCAAATAAGTTTGATCATTTGATCATTGCTAATCCAACATTTAGACCTTTCAGGCAGAATAAGTTCTTTCTCCATCGCCTACTTCCTGCAGATGTATCTAGTTCAGTGATGGCCACTCCTCTTGAGTTGGAGTACCAAAGAGAGCAGATAAAAGAGAGTCAGGGCAAAGTTAGTGAAGCATTTTTTGCCACTCTGTTTTCATTACTGCTGCCTCTTAAAAATGCCTTGGCCATCTTAATATATAACAGCTTTGACTTAATTAGTTCTGTAAACAAGCTCCCAGCCTGTATGTCGCACACTTTCAGCAAAGTGGTGAGCAGTGTTGGGGGATCGAGTTACTATGCTATTAGCATGGAGAGCACTAAACTTTATAGGAGACCCCACCGGCCATCAAAGTCCTTCTGTTTTGGCTTCAGGGAGAAAATCCAAGAGAAAGCCTCTTTCTAAGGTCTCGTATTGATGATGTAACTGATCACATCAATGGACAGAGTGAACTGTCCAAACAATAAAACCATGGGGACTGCAACTGTAGCATGCTGTTGGCACGCTATGTGTGGGAAGTGGATGAAGGGAAGAGTGTAGTTATTGGAGGTTTAGTTAGCAAGGTTTGAAGCAAGGCAGCATGCAGTTTAATCAAGTTTTCCTTTTGAATAGCCATCTCTTCTTTTATCCTTTCTCATCATGCCTACAAGAGAGGGAAAGAGATTAAGTCTTTGTCCTTTAGGATCACAATGTCACTTGTTTTAAGATAGCAGATGTTTTGATTGCAGTGTTAGGGGCTTATCAAAAGTTTAAGCTCAAGGCTTTGTGTGTTTTTCCCTCAGCTTGTTTGTATTCTGACAGTCCATCCTTTCGCTGTTGAAATCAAGTTGGCATTAATTCAATCCCAGGATGAGATTAACTCTTTCAGTTGATTTAGATGAAAAAGTGAAACACCACAAAAGTGCATGTGACAATTCAATGTATACATTAGCAGAGAAATGTCCCTGTTATCTCTCTCTGAATTTGTGTGTTATGAGAGATTACAGAAAGTATAAACAGATGAGTCAATTTTTTTCCCAATTTGTTTAAGCTCAGTATCACTCAGGCATAATGAGCATTATTTGAATCAAGACAAATGTCTGAGTTGAACTGCAGAATAGTACTGTACATCAAAATCAATCAATCTCAATCACTATTTATTTGTATAGCATGAATTCACAACAAATGTAATCCCACCACTTTACAACAAAAAGCAGGTCTAGACGTTACTTTTTATTATATTATTTACAGAGACCCAAAATGCATCCATGAGCACAGCACTAAGCAACATTAAGCAAAGTAACAGGGGCAAGAAAAAGTGTTTCCTGATACCAAGTAAAACAAATAATGGGACCTGATGAGGTGGGGATCACCATGAAACCTTCAGTGAAAACTCCTCTCCATGTCCATGCCACAAGCATAAGCACATGGTAAAGACCCCCCTTCATGTATTCCTCAAAGATGGGTCCAATCCCGGCTTGTACAGTGATCAGGCACACAGGGACCCACGCATTGACACATCAAGAGAATAAATATCGGTGGAAAGGTCAGGGTGAACTTTATCTTCACAAACAGGCTGGAGAAAGCAAGGCTCCCAAGATGAAACAGAGAGACACTTTTAATTAAAAAACATTTCATTTACATTTGGTGTACATTTAGAAATCAGACAATATTGTCATATTTCACTGGCTGTGGCATTGATATAAACTCTGGTACACTTTGAGATCCTAGATCCCACAGATTATGCATTGTCTGGGTCTCTTTTTTTTATCTCTCTTTGACCTGTTGTTTTCTCCTTGTACCGTATTATCTGTGCCCTTGAATCACACCTTTAACCTTGTGTCCAAAGAGATAAACAAACACACATACATAATGTGTGCATCACTTCCATGCCAGAAAAATAAAATACACCAGAGATTAAAGAGATGAAAAAGGCCAGTATATTGTTGTCCACTGCACACTTCAAAGTCCTGGAGGCTTTCTCATGTGTCTTTTAATGGTGTGAAGAAACAGTGGTCCAATGGTTGGATGCAAAAGGTCCCAAGATTAAAGATGGAATTCAATTACACCAGCATTTAACTGCTCACAATGTGGGAGGTGGGCAATCTAGTTTCGTTCTATTCTGACAAACTGTCTTAAAAAACTGTTGTTTTCTTTTAAGCTTATTAAGGAAAAATGCAGCCGTGTGTTTTAGTGGCCCATAGAAATCCAATTTACATGTGTTACAAAGAAACCAGCAAATCCACAGGTGGAGCTCTGTATGAGTATCTTCTGAATTCAGTGGTTTTAGAGTCTAAACATTGTGAACACTAAGGATTTCGCATTACACACTCACTCTTTTCTTTAAAAATGTTGGCAGCAAAAAATGGAAACAAGTTCAAAGATGTTTTTCTTGGTTGCTTCCTCAACAATGCCATTTCTGTCATTTTATATATTTCAAAGAAAGTTTGACAGAAGCTGAAATACAAATTATCTTGAAACACTGTATAAACCTGGCAAATTTGGATTAAACCTGCAGATAAATACATTTAACATCAGTCAAGCAACATTTTGTTCATCTTTAATGTATTATAACTTGCTTGTCCAGTAGATGTAATCAAGTGGTCTCAGTGATTTTCAACAAAATCAAGCCCTGTGTTATCGATGTCCCTCAAGGTCTTGTTGTGCTTCCAGTCCAGTTTGCGTCAGCTGTATGCTGTTGGGGATGCTTGGGGTCACGGTCCTGTTTGAACATAAATCATCATCCAATGTTATTTTTTTGTCCCCGAGAAGCAGTGTCCGCCTTATAATTAGTCTGTTTCCTCCATGCTCACAAGCCACACGCGGCCTGCTGCATCTACCAGAATGCTTTACAAAAGCAGCTGTGTTACAATTATAATTTTTTTGGAGCTTTTAACTATCACCAGAGCATTAAACTTTTGTCTAGTGCTGAACAAACAGTTGTCAAAATAGATATCCCAGTGTGAACAAAAACAGATTCTGTCAAACTGGTGTTTGTCTTGAGGGTTAAATTGGCTGTTAGCAGTACTGGTTTGTCATCACTTCTTTATTATAATATCAAATAATATGCATGTTTTCCAACCCAGTGTAGTTATTTAATGAACTGATTCTGTTTTGGTTACCAATTTAGAGAAGAAAAAGCAGCACGACTTCTACATTATGGAAAATATTTTAAATCAATCAGATGAGTTTAAACGAACACAGCCCTGTATGGTAATTGCACAAAATAATAGGGCTAATTTGTGTATTCTCAGATGCTTTTATTGTCTCCCT